AAATTAACTAATATAGTATAGATTAAACTAAGACAGAAGGCAGGATTTTAATTGAGAAACCAAATTAAAAAGCCTCTATTTATCTTATATTTAGGCTTTCATTAATTTTTAACTGACAACAACTGAGGGAAGATAGTGGAACTAGTAAGAGAAGGAATGAAATAGGGTTTGGAAGGAAAGATTAGATCAAGAGGAAAACAAAGACACAGTATCAAAATGTTTATATCTCAGAAGTTTCAAGACATGATAGAAAATTTGCGAAAAGAACACATGTATAAGGAATGAGATCCAAGAATAGAATCTTGGTAAACATTTATATGGTAGGTTAGGAGAGGCAGGGAACCCAATGAAGATGAAAGAGAAAGGACAATTAGAGAAGTAGAAAAGAGACTAAGACAGGTCAACCCAAAAGGCAAGAGGAAAAGATAGGCAAAAACAACTTCTGTAGTATAGATGAACAAGGTGGAGGTGACATATCAAATGACTTTGATCTTCACAGTAAACCATAAAACAAGGTTGTAAATAAAGAGTGAGAAAAGATAAGAGTGAGATTTAGTCTTGAAAAAAAAAAAAAAACCAGAAAGATTTGAAATACATTTTTCAGGAAATGTAATAGGAAGTCTATTAGAAGTGACCAAGGGTTTGACTGCACAGCATGGAGAAAAAAGCTGAGTTTAGAAAACATGCATTTTTAATGGCATTAAACTGCCTCACTTTAGTGTTTGCAATCTAGAAATTGAATAAATGCCCTTGCTCGGGTCAGGATTTACCCATGCAAGAAGTAACTAAGTGAGAGGACAGTGGATGGAGAGCACCATGAACTCCATCTGAGCTGTCCTTTAGCCTGGCTCTGATATTAAAGTTCAGAAGAAAGAAAATGGCAGCGAGGAATGGGCTGATTGTAATGGTGGAGATTTAGACTCCCAATCAGAGAAAAGACAAACTCATTAAGAATTAAAGAATGGAAAAAAAATTAAAGAATGGGAGAGGAAAAGGTAAGAGTATGTGGTCAAAGAAGGAACTTTTAGATGTAAAGATCGATTTTTTAATGCATGCTATTAAACTAGTTTGTTATTATGAAAAATTTAAACCACTTTGGCAGGTAAACACCTTTATCAGGTATCCAGATCACTCTCCTAGTTCTGTCCAGTTGATGCTGCTTTCATCCTCCTCCAACAGGTTTTCCATATCTATCTTTTGTCATTTACCATACATTCCTCTAGACATTATCTTTGTTAAAAAGAAAAGGCCAAAGTGAAGGGCAAGCAGCATTTATTTGAGATCAAAAAAGAATAGCTATTTGGGAAGGGCTCATTCAGGCAGAAACCCAAACAGTGTTCTGATTAGGAGACAGAGGAAAAGAATATTTATGAGAAAGGAAAGGGGAACAATTACAACAATAGAAGGAAGGCATTTCAGTACACATAAACTAACGCAGTGACTGAATTCTAAACCATGTGTTTAATTTTCAGGCTGGTAGCCATCGGTTTAGTAGTCCTAACATCTGATTTCTTGTTATCTTTACAAACAGTTGTTTGGGACACAATGTTGTTTGGGGCCCAGTCCAAAGGTAATTCTGCCCTGTTTTAACCAATGTTCCAAAAGTTTGAGAAAGAAGACTTGCAAAGCAGTTCCTCTGGGATGGCAGCTCCGGCTCCCTTTTAAAGTGGCTCTATATATAGTATTTTTTACATCTTCCATCTTTATTGAATCTCAAGATCTCTTACAAAAATGTATCCTTAGTTCTGACACTTCTAATCTTCAGTAAATTCATCTTTGTTATTATCTCTCTGTGGTTTAAAATGTTTATTAAAGGTTCAGTTTTATAATATCTAATCATAACACTGAATTTCAAAACTCTCTGGTACTTAAGAAAGAAAATAATTAGTCTTGCAAATTTAAGTATTGAGATTAAAGCCTCTACAATCAACACATTGGTATATATATCATATATCATTTCATCTGAAACAATTCTTAAATCTTAACTATTCTGATAAAGCTTCCATATACAGCAAAATTAGATTATGGTTTTTAGATTTAAATAACGATGGTAGGACCCCATGTTGTCGATGAATAAAATAATCCAATTAGCCAACTTTGACAAGAAGAGGCCAGTTCAATATAATCTACATGTAACCGGTCAGTTGTAACTGCCCTGCTTTTAGTTAGCTACAATATTTGATTTGAGGGTAGAAGACAATGACATCCACCATTCCGCTGACTAGACTGGCTGACTTTCCGTAGCCTGCTGGTGTCTTTTCATAAGAAAAAATAATAGTATAATGTTGCCATTTATAATATTATTATTACCATAACAATAATAACTACCATTTCTTGAATACTTACTGTAATTCAGTCACTAAGCTCTGTTACATAATTCACATACTTGCCTTAGAGATATATATAACTGCCCCACTTTATGGATTAAAAAAAGAAAGAAAAACTCTGAAAGTCAATCTACTCTTACAGAAGGAGCCTTCTTCAAACCATAGTATATAATACGAATATCAAAAGTAAGCCGTGAATGAAACTTTTAAATTGATTTTAAATGCTTTAATACTCTCAAACGTAGCCTGGATCAAACTTTCAAGCATAATGTTTACTACTTAATAACTAATTAAAAACAAGCAATCTAACTTCTATTAGAAAGAAAGACTTTCTTCAGGGAAGAATGTGTTTCGGTTTTTCAAGAACATCAACAACATTTCATGAAAATGAAGTATTATGGTAGATATGTTTCCATAACAACAAATTCACAGTATAACCATAGTACTAGATGTACCTATTATGGTAGAATCTTCAAACCATTTTTCCAATTATAAGATTTACATTCATGATTTGGACATCATTTTTATTCAATTAGCTTGCAGATAAACAAGACAATACTTACTTCTTTCCCTTTTTTTCTCTGTTATTTAAAATGTTTGTGAAATAGCTTTCTTCCTACACAACAGCCTCTTTACCCATATCTTCCTGAAGAGGAAATAAAATGGGAAAAGAAGTGGCAGAGAAGTGGGAAGGGAATGTGTTCTCCTTGCATAACTAAGTAAGGGAGCACAGGAAGTGGTATATGCAAGAGAAGCATTTTCTCCTTAGATAAATGACCTTTCTATCTTCGACCCCCCAAAAAAGAAAAACGGGTTTACCATTGAATTCCTGTTGACCACATCTTCCTGTGTTGTTCATCCATTTTAGAAAACATAAATTTTAGTTGGTATTTCTTTACATCCCTTTTTTTTCATCTAATTCAGTTATTTTCAACTTTTGAACAGACCAAGCATTTAGAACTTAGAAAGATTTTGTTTAGAAAATAACAATCCATTAGCTTAAAATAAACAAGCACGAGTGCACTGCATTGATGTTTTTGAAAATAATACCTTTATATAATCCATCAACAGGGCCAGTGCCATTAGAGGTGGCTTTTGAGTAAGCATTTATATATTCATTTTTAAATCATTGTCGCATACCTTCAGTGCAATACTTCTTCACTATCATATGAACCTGCAAACCTCTGATTGCTTATTCAGTGTTGATATTGCAATTGCAATGGTGGTGTTTAAACGTAATTATTAATATACATAGGCAAAATCATTAGTGCAGGTATATATGGTTTTCTCTATAGAGAAAAGCATGATACTAATAAATGTTATAATTCTACATTTTTGTTATGGCAACATAACTGAAGTGGATATTTCATTTTCTTGAAACAATTATTTTTGAAAATTTAAAATACACTGAGATAGCCCTTTTTTCTACCAAGATTAGATTATTTATTTTTATTTTTAATTGCCTATCAATTAGTAACGTTATGCATCTTAAGTTTAAATCAAGTTAGTATTTTTGATTGATAGAGAATTTAAGATCAATTTAAAAGCACTGATTCATAGTTTACCTTTGATATTCTTATTATAAAAGACCATTGTGACTCAAAGTGATTGAAAGCAGGTATTTATTAAGTAACTCGAGACTTTAAGGGTAAAAATAATAAAATATTAATCTTTACTTCTAGAAAAAGAATAAGGAAACCAATTACTAAAATAATATGTATTTATTAGGAAATACTAAATCATAAATATTTTCTAATATACCACCCATATCTTCAGCTAAAGACTACTAAATCTGAGTCATTTTTGTATTTTGATCTCATTAATAAGAACTTAATAATGGATCAAGCTTAGTAAATGAAATTAAGTTCTCAGTAAAGACTATTTCTAATTTAAATTTATTTTCCACTTGACTTTCTGCCTTTTCTGAGCTCTTCCCCTATATAACTTAATTTCAAATCTTATTCACTTTTTTTTTTTAATTTGTGAATCATCTATCTAATACTTTAAACTTTAGGGCATGAAATATAAAAAACAAAGTCTAGTTTCCTTCTCTTTCTAGGTAGTTAAATAGGATCAGAGATTCTTTTCTACTTTCTAAATCTAATTACTTTGAGAGGATTTTTTTTAAATAAAAATTTCCAGGACCTTTATAATCTAAAGCCACAGAAAAATAGTTTTACCTACTTTTAGTGTTTTAAATCCCCATACTGTATTTTTATGTTTGAATTTATCTTCATCTCCTTCTCCTCCAAAACTGCTTTAGCATTTTTAAAAACTTTCCTATGAAATATAGGTAAGAATTTTTTAGAAATTTTGCAGGATTGTTGATATAATTGTAACCAGTTAGAGGTATTACATGATCACATCATTTATCTCTTAAGTTGATGTTCTGGAAAACCTTAATTAGAGAAAAACAAGATTAAAAAATTAAGCAAAATATAAAAAGTATTCAGCTAAAAGTTGCTATATGGATTTTTCCTTAAGCTTTGAAATTTTGTGAGTCACCTCAAAATCTTATATTGTGTTTATGATAGATTTTTCAGTAAATGCAATATTGACATTTGTTTGGAGGAAATGAAGACTTGCTTAGTTATACTGAACTCCATTTGGGCAGTAATGGTACTGATATTCTTACTCACATATTACAATCTTCTTCTTTTTTTTTTTTTGCAGTTTTACTAAAGGGAGGAAAAAAAGAGGAAGAGAAACCATTTAGAGACTGTGCAGATGTATATCAAGCTGGTTTTAATAAAAGTGGAATCTACACTATTTATATTAATAATATGCCAGAACCCAAAAAGGTAAAACCAGAAGTGTTTGTTTACGAGATGTAAAGCAGATCCTAGTTGAATTGCTGAATAATCAGATTGATTTGTGAGCTTGTTAAACCGAATATATATATGGCTGAGTGCTTTTCTCAAAAATACTGTGTTTCCTGGGCCTATAAAAGATGAAAACCTATTGTACAGACCTTCCCCAACTCCTCCATCTCCCATCCCTCTACAAAAAGTTTTCTATTTATTCTCTGCCTATTCCTGGGATGTCCCTTTGCTCATAAATGCTTGCCTTATACAGATTACATACCGAAGTCACATGTACTTCGAGTGCATGGAGAAGAGTTAGGAGCCATCTTCCAATGTCTTAAGGATCCAGATGGCACAGATCATCTACAGTCCAGATACTTTAGAGGTAAAGCTAGGGACTTATTTCCAGAATCACTGCTCCTTAGGGTGAGAGAAACATATTCTATATTAACTCATAGTCTTAAAAGTATTTGCTTTTTATATTAACCTAAAAGAATGGATTGGATGATAGGATTCATGAGTATATTGAACAGGATCCAAAGTAAATTTTAAAGTAAGAAAACACTATCTTCCTGTTGTCACATCTCTTTTATATACTCTTTCTCCCTATTTATTCATTAGATCATCCATCCATTCCTTCATTCAATATATATTAAGTGTAGGTCATTCATTTGTCAGTCACTGACTAGGGACATAATACAGAAAAACAATTCTCAGTATAGCGGTGAAGACAGACAATTACACGGATAATTATAATGTACTGTAGAAGTGTAGTGATAGAGACAGTCTATTGAAACAGGGTTTATGAAGAGCCTTTAGGAGAGCCCTGCTCTTCAACACACCAGAGCTTTAGCTAGGTGCCCCAGGTCCCAAGAGGACTGTCTGCCTTTCCAGTGCTTCATCCTCAAAGGATGGAACACCTTACTCCTCTCTTTGCCCCCTTGAACTACCAGTCCCTTGTCTCTCTTTCCTCTGAGTACTGTGCAAATGCTCCTGGAAGGCCTTTCCCGATTCCCTCAAGCAAATTTGCATGACTTTCTCACTATCAAATTTCTACAGGATCAAGAATTCTACCTCTTCTTTTTTTTTTTTTTAATTGAAGTAAAATTGATATATAACACTATATTAGTTTCAGGTGTACAACATAATAATTAGATATTTGTATACAGTATAAAGTTATCACCACAAAAGCTAGTTACCATCCATCACAATCCAGTTGACCCCCTTCACCCATTTTGCCCACTCCACCAACCCCCTTTCCCTCCGATAACCAGCAGTCTGTTTTGTCTTGTTTTGTTCGTTCATTTTTTTTTTTTTAGATTCCACAATTAGATGAAATCATAAGATATTTATCTTTGTCTGACTTACTTCACTTAGCATAATATCCTTAGGTCCATCCACATTGTTGCAAATGGCAAGAATTCCTTCTTTTTTATGTCCAAACAGAAGTTCATTGCATGTACCTTTTTATCTTTGATTTCCTGGGACCCAACATAGTTTCTGACACATCATAGGTCCTTAGTAAATATGTGCTGGAATGAAGGAATGAATGAATGGATGAGTGAATGAATAGAAGTCTTGCTAATAACAATATTAACACCTCTATGTAGTATATAGTAAGTGAGCCTAACTAATTTAGTCCTCCTGATTATTAGTTTCCTTTGATTGGTGAGGGAAACTTGGAGACCAGCTTGTCAGCTGTCACACAGTTGTCAAGAGCGGGAGTCTGGACTCTACCAGCATCTTCTCTCTCCTGATTTCAATAAGGATTAGTGGTTTAAGTTAGCTCAGTGTTTTTTTTTTTTTTTCCCTTGGCTGGGATAAAGTTTTACCCTAAAAAGAGGCCTTGCATGCAGTTCTGTAACAGGAAGGAGGGATGGAGAAAGCACGAGGTGAAAGAGGTGGCAGGCACAGTTCTGTACATTGCTACCTGGACCACCTACCAGAGACATTTGGTTTTACTTCTTTTTCTTTTTGGGCTTCTGTGCAAGATCTCACTGAATCAAGTTCCCCATGGCTTCAAAATAATAATAATAATAATAAAAGCTGTGTAGTTACAATGGCAGGTCTAGGAGTAAGAAGAAGAGGGTAACTTAGTGTAAGGAGGAGCATTTTGAATCCTTTGGATCATATGACATGAAGCCTTCTTACTCTGCTTGCTGATGTCTTAAAATCATACCTAAGCTTAAATTCAACTCATACACATACACATACATGGCATATGAACACTCGCATACCCAGACACCATACACATAGCATATAAAGTGATCAGAAACTGTTCTGGGGGAGAGAAGTGGAGCTAACAAAAATATTCTCTGTAATTTATTTAAAGAACTGCCCAAGATCTGAAAGAAATCCTAAATTATTGTCAGTCCCACTATAATATAACTTGACTATAAAAATAAAGTAAACTAAAAACATTGAGTGACCCTCTTTTTAGACTCCTAATGATTCTATGATTCATATGAATCTAAAAATAAAATATTTTTCATGGACAATAGACTAGTAGTTACCAGAGGGTAGGGGGAAGGGGGGAGGCAAATGGGGTAATAGGGGTCAAATATGTGGTGACATTAAAGAATTAAAAATAAATTAATTAATTTAAAAATAAATAATAAATAAAATAAAAATAAAATATTTTTTAAAGTTTTCAGATTAACACGCGCACTTTTAGAATTTTTTTCACTCCATCACCAGTTCAATCATGTAGCCTTAGTGGGCATCACAAATACAGTGTTGATCATTTCATGAACTTTAATTCATATAAAACCACAACTCTATTCTAGTTCAAAATGTTTTCAGATATAAATGACATACAGGCTATTTGCAGAACCACTTCTCCTATTAAGGTAGAAGAAAAATATCCTATCTTAGCTCATTATCTTAAATAACTCAGAAACTTGAATGCTAACTCATAAGCTTGAATAAGTTTGCTTTTCATACTTACGTAAAAGAGTGGGTCCAGTTTACTGGTTCAATGGCTGACTCCTATGCTGGTGTCACCAGGATAGCACAATTTAAATTTACAGCTCTGCAAAATGATGAATTTTGCATATTATGGAGCTTTAGAGTTGTTCTTGAATAAACAAAATGTGAAATATTAAAATCACTAATGTAAAATATCTGCTAGATTAAAAAATGTCTGAGATTTGGGCCTAGGGAAAAATAGTAGCCTGAGCAGATTAGCAGTCATATTAGTACAGGCCTGTAATAAGCAAATTTTATCCCTGCAGAAATGGCCCCAGGACCGTTCTCATGTCATCTGCTCAGGACTGTCATTAGACAGTTTTATTGGAAATAATAGCAGAGAATGGTGAGAGGAGGAGATAACTGAACAGAAGAGAGAAAGGCTAAAGCCTCCTTCTTGACTTAGGTGTTCATTCTCTGGTTTAATCATTCCCCTCTATGGTGACGGACCCTCTCACAAGTGGTAGTGCTGTTCTACTATGGAGATGAATACTCTGGACTGATACACCTGCATGTCTTTGTAGGTAGCATATATTTTTTAAATCCCTTATTATATTCACACAGCTTGGCATTAGTAAAACTAAATATTGTGTGAATTTCCCCAATGTAATTTAGAAGCTGATTAATACAATAGTTCAAATGTATTGAGCATTTAGTTTTCGAGGTCCTATTCTAAGTTCTTTAGATATACTCATTTGTTTACTCTTCATTAACTCCGTGAGATAGATACTGCTATTGTCCCTGTTTTAGAAAATTAATTTGCCCAAATCGCATAGTATATATTGAACACAGGCTCTGCAACAAAGAATCAACTCCAGACTGTAGCATCTTAAAAGGGGCTAAGTAGGATACTTATGTATATTAGCGATGACTGAAATTGCACTACTTATAATTTTTAATATGAATTTATGTGAATGGCACAGGAAAGAGTTTATCAGAAAATTATGTAAAATATTCATGCTCTGATTATAAGCCATCTCATTCCCTTTCACTCTATAATCTCATTTTCTTCTCCCATTTGGTATAAATCTCTCAGTCCTATAAAGTGTTTGGAAAATGTGTCTTTAGGACCCTTGCCCTTTGTAGTTATAAAGTTTGGTGTTACTTTTAGATATTCTTAGCAAAAGCTTTGCTCATTGTAATGCTTGCAGAAGGTCTAGCAAGGGTAAGAAACTCAAAGCAAGTTTTTATAAAAGCAAAAGGAAACAAAAACTTCAAATATGTATGATATGGAAATGGGCCAATCAATAAAATTGGGCTACTTAGGCAACTGATGAAAATTATTAACAGAAATTATTCACCTTTTAGTCAGAGCGAGAGTTGCAAGCATACAGAATTGTTATGTAGTTACTGTTTTGACTGACATTATTCTATGCCAAGAAAGAATGTCTGCAAAAGTTAGAAAGTGCTGTCTTTTCAAATGTGATGAGAAGCCAATGGTGATCTTCTAGGACATTTAATTTTTCAAGTAGATAGAAACTAAGAATTAGATCATTTATATATTTACCTTTTACTTTTATATTATTAATGGCTTGTGGTTATTTTCCTCTCTGAATTCTCTTCAATAAATAGTAGTAGGAAATAGGATTTTTCCTTTCATTTCATAAGTTGCTAAAACCAAATGCACTATAGCCAGCTTAGTTTTATCCCAAAAAACAAAACATTAAATCGCTTCTCCTTATAAAATATTTAAAACCTGTTTCTGAATTCATAATTCCCCTAATTCTTGGGAAAGGACTATAACAAATGTGTTGAGCCTTTTTCATTTAAGGTAATGGAAAAATAATTAACACCCACAAGCCTAATCATTCCAACTTGTATGGAGCATAAAAACATAAGAACTATGTGAATCAAATTTCGCCTTTTGTTTGGGTTTAAATCTCTGTATTATGTTAAAAGGTATTTAATGCTTGAAAGCTTTGACCTTGCCTGGGACAGGAGCCAGTTCAATCTTTTCTTGGATAGAGTTAAGCTCAAGTCATATGATCAATAAATGCAACCGGCACAGTAAATGTAGCAGGGCCCTTGTCTACAGGAAGGACACCGCCAGATGGCACAGACCACACAATATTGGCAAATGACCTTTTCAAGTCCTTTCATGTCTCAAATCTTTTGAAAACAACCACCTATTTTCTTGAACTTCCTTCATCTGTTAAGCTTAGCCTTTTTATTTTTCTTCTGACTGGAAATTTTTTTCTGGAGTGAGTCCAATTTCTTAACTATATCTCTGTGTGTGTGTGTGTGTGTATGATAAAAAGTAGCATTTGCAAAGATTAGTACTGCCAGTATTATTAACAAGAAGCTGGTGATCATAATCATAAGGACAATTTATTGAATTTCTACATATTTTGGCTTTGTACATTCTATATCATTTATAATAAGTTATAAATAATAAATGATATGCAGTTATATATAACAGTAAACAATACTACAATATATGAAATATATACAAAGTATATAATGCATAACATACATATATATTATCCCATATGTAACATGCATCCGAGAGATGAGAGTAATGGCAAAACCTATTATGTGCCAAACACTATACTAAAAACTCTATATACATTGACTCATTTAATCCTTGAAAAAATTCAAGAGATAGAGATCAGAGGTGAAATTAGAACATAAGTAATCTAGCACCCAAGTCCATGTCCCTAACCAAAATGCCATTCAGTTCTGTTGTGCCCGTATTTAACAAATGGCAGCTGTTATCATTGCTGTTATTATTGAGGGTCCTAATAAGAATTGTGGAGCATATGTGCAACCTCAAAACCTCTCTGCACCTCAGCTGCCAACACAATAATCTGCCTGGGTAACTTCTGTCTCCCATGTAGCTCTAACTCTGGTTCTTTATCTAAGAAAGGCTCTCAGTACATCTTAACGTTTTCAAGTTACTGAATACCTTTGTTTAAAAGAAAAGTTATTTTTTTATAAACTTTGTGAGTGATTTTAAAACTCTGCACAGAATTTTAATAACTTAATAATAATAAAAAAATTGTAAAGAATAGTTTTCTCTACACACTATGTTGATAAATGTAGTTATTTCTTTCCCTGAGCATGGAAGTGGACATTATAGGATTGTGAGTACAGTTTGGCAAAATTTCAGGCAATCAAGATATAAAAATGTGGAAAAATTTTTGGATTAACTAGTCAAGGCAGGGTAAAATTTAATTAAGAAATGGGTGACATAAGTTTCCCCTAGCAAAATGTTTCCTTGACATTTTCACTTACTCTTAAGTTTCACCAGTAAAGGTCCACCTTGGTCACTTGTCTTGAATCACCACCTATGCCCTCTTTAAACTGTACCATCTGGATTTTATTCTCATAGGAATCCTGCACTGTCTTTCCTCAAGGTCACTAATGGCTCCTCATTTTAAATTAAAGTATATATTTTCTTAATCTTTATTTGTCTGTCTTGACTACTTTGGAATATTTCATTAAGCCGATCACTTCCCCAACTCGAAATAGCATTCCATTAATCAAGTTTTTCTATTTGATCTTTCCCTCTTGCATCTCTATTTATTCAACAAATATTCATTTAGTATTGACTATAGGCTAGGCACTGCTCTAGGCATTGAAGACATCAGCAAATAAAATGAAGTCTCCGGCTACTTAAAGTTTTTTGATATATTTTATCTCCATCATTTGTTTTATCTCCCATTCTTGGGCCCTCCTCCCTTCCACACACACACAGTGATTTCCAATTGTTTCTTTACTTCTTTAAATAATCCTTCTTCCAGTTATCAGCTACTACTTTTAAGCATATTACTCCCGATACAGTTTTGAATTAGGTATACCTAGGGTTCAAATCTTAGGTCCAGTACTTGTTATTAATAATAACCATCGGTAAGTTACTGAAATACTCTAAGCCTCCTTTTTTTTTTTTTTTTCATTTGTAAAATGGGGATAATAATCATACCTACACCATATGGTCATTGTGAGATAAGTTAGAAAATGCATGTAAAGTGTTTAAATTATCTGGCACTTAACAAACATGCCATTCTTAATGGTTATTCTTTTCTTATTCCCTTATTTTCCTGTTCATGTTCTTATCTTTGGTCTGATAGATCATCTCCAATCAATAAACTTCCCCTTTTGGATGACTATGTTACCTCAAACTCTATATGTCCAAAACCATGATCCTTTTCTTTACTCATATGTTAGCTTTCTTCCTTAAATTTCTCATTTAGATCACTGTCTTTATCATTCTCAGGTTACTAGAGTTGAAAATTGTGGACTCCTACATCTCCTCAATCCCACAGGAGCAGTCACTATTGAAACTTATAGGCATTTTCAGGATGTATTGTATCCATCATATCTCCACTTATAATCAGAATCAGTGCCCCAAAATGCTGTTGACTGAAAACTAAGTGAATGAACAAATTAGAATTAAGGAGGATGAAAGACTAGCTAAAGGTTATATTGAGGACAATGAGCAGGTACAGAAGGGTCAAGGGATCAGTTGAGGGGGGAACTTTGAGGCAGAGAGGGGAATTTCACACTTATCATCTTGGAGGAGAGTCAATTCTTAGGGATTATGAAGATTCCTGATGGGTGGCTGTTGTCCAATTAGAGAGAGAGTCAGCCCTCCGGCAGTTTTCCTATTTATATGCTCACTAATAGGCACGGATCTTTTAGTTTCTTTCACTCTGAGGAAGTACACGGATAATTTGTCCTTTGACTGACAGTTCTTGCCATTGTTTTCATACCCTTTAGCTATCTGTGCTCCAAATTTGTGCCTCAGGGAAAACGCTTGAAGTTTTTTTCCTTTAGTCATAGTTTAGCTCTATGCTCACACAGTCTGCCTGCGTCATATCTACACCTTTAGCCAGCCTCAAAAATCATTTAGTAGTCAGGTGCCAGGGGAGCAGTGTTCCCCATAGCTGGGCCCTTGAATAATCAAACCGTCAGATTCATGCTGCATCAATTATAGTGATTGCTCTCCAAAAATAATCGCATTACAGATATGTTTCTCTCCTTCAGTGGACTCTGGGGGAAAATGAATAAATTTCTAAATAAATACTATTGTATGTAGAATAATTGAAATAAGCATAAGTCTTTGAGAGATTTGGATAACTTTTCCACATGGGAAAGAAATGCTTGTTGCCGTCAGAAGAAATACAGTATGTCATGTTCTCTTCTTATTGTTCATGATGAAAATTCATGCAAAAAAAATGTGTTCTTCATATGCCAAAGACCAAATTTTGCCTCTAATGTAACACTGAACCATCAAGAATGATTATTGTAGTATGTAAGTATATAGAAGTTAATATGCAATGAAATATGTAATAGCTAAATATGAATGATTTTTTAAAAATTGTTTTTCCAAAACCTTTATTATTATCATATTGCCATTTCAATTAATTACAGATTTTAAAATTCCAAATCTTATGTTTTGGAAACTTTAATAGCATTTAAAAAAAATTGAACATATACAAGTGCGTATTACCATTTAAAACAGATTTTTAAAAAATTTTATAGTCTGAGACAGGCAATTTTCAGCTGACTGATTAAAATGTTTAAAAGTAATTTATACATCTTTGATGGAACTTAATCAGGAACTCAAATGTAAGAAAAATAACCAATAAGATATCTAAATTAACATTTTCAGCATAGTAATTTTCATTCTTTTTGTCTATAGGCTTATCCATCCTATTTCTATTTTAAAACATATCTAATACATATTTCTTTAAAATAGACATAATTTTTACGATTTTACTTTTCCTTTTCTGTCAGGTATTTTGCAATATGGATCTTAGTGGGGGAGGTTGGACTGTAATACAACATCGTGAAGATGGAAGTGTGGATTTCCAAAGAGGTTGGAAAGAATATAAAATGGTAAGATGGAAGAATTTAGTAGTTGTTGATGTTTTATCATAAGGTTGTCTTCACCACACTGTGATAAACGCTTACATTTTTAGGTGTTTTTCAGTTACTTAAAAATAAAATGATAAATTAGTGACATTATTTTCATTAAACATAAAGCACTCATAAATCATTTTCAGTAAATTATTTCCATGTGTGCATTAGAAAGAAAAATGTATTGCTGAAATTCTTTGGTGCACTGTTATGTATTGTCTGGATTTGTTCCTGGTGGAATGAGGGTGGGGGAAGCTAGAACTCAGACCCAGGCTGGGTACATGAGCCAGGACAAGAGAGGCATACAGGGCTGTGGTTGTGGAACAAGACAGCTACTACCAATGGCCTCGGTGACATGGCTGGCAAATCATTGCTGGCTGTTGACTGAGAGCTCCTCCATGTGGCTGGGTTGGGCTTCTCCCAGTACAGTTATCCAGGGCCATCAGACTTCTTATGTGGCATTTGTCATCTCTCAAGCACAAAAATAGAAGCTTCCAGGACTTTTAAAGACCCAGAAATAGCATGATTTCACTTTCACTGCATTTGTTGTTGTTGTTATTGTTGTTGTTATTGTCATTAATGATAGGGGTAGTTCAGATTCAAGGTAAGAGAAGTACACAAGGGTGTGAACTGTGAGCCATGGGTCACTGGGGTCTCCAGAGTAAGATTAGACATCACTATCATCATCGCCATGCTTGTAGCTAACCTTTTCAGTGACTAACATGTGCCAGCCCTATACACAAATTCTTATGTAATCTTCTATATCAATCCTGTAACGAATGATAGCTAATACTGTCTTCATTTTAAGAAGAAAATGAACAAGTTGGGAGATAAACTTTTCCAAGATAATATAGTAGCTGGTTGAAATGATTCATAATCCAGTAATCACATAACAAATGCCTAACAATATTAAGTATTAAAATCTGTTGACAGAATATTGAGGCACAGGAATAGAAGAGGATTTCCACTTATAGACTAATTCTCATTTTTCACATCTAAATCTTCTGAGTCATTCTTCTCTTGACAATTTTCTGATAACTTCCTCTCTCAAAAAGTAAAGAAAAGGGTGAAGAGAAATGCTCTACTAACCTAAGTTCTATCTTGATATTCTTGTAAGTAATGTAAAAACTATAGTTGGTCGACATCATAGTTCACCCATTAGTAGGTTTGTAGCTTGTTGAATGACAGTAAACAAAGAGTTTTAATAAATATAGGGAAGCCTCTAGTGGTGTTTCTGCATCTACAACATTTTTATTGAACACTCTAAAAGTAGGTTAATGAAGTTTGGAGTTACACAAAGTTAGAAACTTGATGTTTTCAATAAACAAACTCAAGATGGAAAGGTAGGCTGAACCCAACAAAATAGAATTCTACAGAGATAAATGTTAAGTCAGACCAAAAATACACAAAATTAACTGTGAGAATATGAGATAAATGTCACTAATTAGCTTAAGAACCTAGTATTTGAAAGATGGCGAAATTTACTTGGTTATAAGCTTATTTTATGTTGTTGAGTACTAAAAAACAAAGACCTATCTACACAGTCTACATTAATAGTAGTCTTTAGTTGCAAAAAAAAAAAAAAATGCAGAATCATTGGTGTCTGTCATGGTCTGCTTACATCAAGAATATACTTTCAATTCTGGAGGTTTTCCAACATGGGAACTTATCTCAGAGGATACAAACAGCATGGAAGGAATCTGGAAACCTTATGTGGAGCAGGTGAATAGTCAAGTGTCTAACCTGGAAAAAAAAGAATTAGGTGTACATTGGTCTGATAGCTATTTTTTTAAATTTATTCATTTAAATTAGTTTCAAGTATACAGTACATTGGTTAGACATCTATATAGTTCATAAAACGATCCCCCCAATTGCTACCTCCCTCCCCTGGCCATCTACCTAGCCATTGTATTAATGCTAACTGCATTCCCTATGCCATGCTCCCCATCCCCATGACCAATTATCAACTACTAATTTTAATTAACTGGATGGAGGTGTGTAGTACTGGAGCCTGCTACTCAAAGTATGGTCTAGGGACCACTAGCTATAACGTTGTCTGAGAGTTACTAGAAATGCAGACTCTCAAGCTCCACCCCAGACCTCCTGAATTAGAATCTGCATTTTAACATTGCTCTAAAGAAGGAATCTCCATGATGAATGGAGGAACATTACAGAGAGGCAAAATTTAACTAAGTATGAACAAAACTCTCTAATGATTCTTTCTAACTTGAAGTGGTGAGGACCCATCTTCAGTGGAAATGCCAGTAGAAGGTAAATAGTCATGTTTCAGGATTGTTATGGAGAATTGGAGTGTTGGTTTGATTCTGAGGTCTCTTTCTGCCAATGTGATTCTAAGAACATTTGAGGGGAAAGGACACATAAGTTCTAAAAGAAGACCTTGCATTCTGTCTGTATTAACATTTTGAGTCTTCACTCTGTCATTTACAAATGAAGTAATTTTGGGCAAATCATTTAATCCATACCTTAATTTTCTCACTCACTGAAAGGGGACATTAATAATAATGCCTCACCTGCTTTGCAGAAATGTTATGAGAATTAGATATAAATAAAGCATTTGGCACACAGAATTTTCAATAAACAGTATTTATTATTATTACCCAAAATTAAAACATCAAAGACTGCAAAATTTTTCTTAACTCTGCCAAAAATATGATTTCATAAACCATCTTAATTCATGATTATTTTCATCACGAAAATGGGATGTGAAGAAGTCATCTGAGTATCAGACTATAGATATAGATTTAGGCAAATCTGTAATACATTATTATTGACATTCATTATAATTGGAAAATGAATATAAAGTTGTCATCATGGCGACTTTCCAAAATAGTGAATTAGTAACTGTAAGCATCTGTTGCCTTCACAAACGAGGCATGTTAAGTAAGAGAGGCTGACATTTATTTACGTCTTATAAATATTTACTAAATACATATGTGTATAATGCATTTTTATTATTGGAATGAAACTGAATTATTCTTTAATGAAGTTTCTTTAATGATGCTTTTATGAAGTTTCTCCTCCCCCTTTTTAGATAGGTTATCATGTTTTGTTCAAACTAGAATAATTTATCAGCTCAGTGGCAATTCTGCATGATCAGAAAATGAGATAAGCTCCAAAATTCTGAAACATTTTGGCAAAAATGAGTCCAACGACTTTTTTATTTTAATTAAAAGAATTCATCACATGTTACAACTTGGTTAACTTTCACCAAAACACATGGTAGAAAGTGTTTCAGTTTCCTCCAGAGCTTTTCTTTCACCTAAAGACAAAATAACATGACGACAAAGAATGGATGTAGACTCCTTCTGCCAGTTCTTATCAATCACACCCATTTCTGCTCCCTGCATCAGAAGAACGGGCCGCTGGGCTGTGCATCCTTTGGGAAAACAAGAACTTGCCATGCACCACTTCCTCCTCAATCTTCACTAATCTAATATAATATAACCTAAGACGCTTCACTTCTTTCTCAGTCATGGAGTGTAGAAATAAAGTTTCATCCTGCCTTCTTTTCTGCCTTACCTCTCCCCTTTCCTTCATACTGGTTGATGACTAAGGATTGCCTTTTGCCTTATAAGGTTTCCAGGGAAAAAAAGTTAAAATTATCAATACGTGAAATTACAAATATATATTATGTATTATAATTATTATTTTTAAACATCTCAACATGAGAGACTTGCTACTTATTTGATTCTTAATATTGGCTTTAAGCCTTCGAAAGTCTTTTACCTGAGCTTTGTTTTCACTTAAACTTCCTTATGAGGAGATGCAGCAAAATCTGGTTTATGGATTTGTAAAGATGTTTACAGAGAGCTCTGGAGTGGGCCTGTTTAATGAGGCACTTAGGGAACTATATTAACTTCTTCAAACCATGAGGATACTATTTAGTGGCCTCCAGCAGTAACTTATCAGCAGTACTTTTACATATAAAGCCCAATCAAGCTAGGAGTCCAAATAGTACCCTAGTGGCCTAACTTTATAGAAGGTAGTGTGACTAATGCCTGGAGACAACCTGGCTTTGTATTGTAAACAATTACCCCCATAAACGGAGCTTCCTATTGACACACATACTTCAGTCTGAGCACCATACTGTCTGAGAGTTCTTTATTTCTGGAAAGAAATTAAGAGCACATTTTCATCTGTATTCTAACATCTTTACGTTAAAAAGGGAAATATATAAGGAATTTAAAATGTGGAAAGAAATTATTCTTTTGATATTTCTTGGGCTGAGTGTCTAAGCAGTTAAAGGAGATGCAAGACCGAATTGTGAATTAAAGAGCCCTTGGGAGCCACAGCACAGTAACCTTGACTTCTTGTCTGTTTTCTTTAATTATTTATATGAAAAGAGATGAAACCCATAGCACACATGGATTGTGTCTAGTTCTGAATGTGTTTAGCTATAAAAAGTCAACACTTCCTATGAACGTTATCAGACAAAACAGATAAAATATCAGAGACAATTATTTTATTAACTTGGAAAAATACAAACCACAACTGAATATTTCTGCAGGTTTTAGCAAAAACATATGAATATTGGTCTTTCCTCTGTGCCTTTTTTTTTTTTTTAGCAAGATGTGGTTTTAAGGCGAATTTTAAATCAGCATTAGTTTAGGTTAAATTTTAGTGTCTTTTTTGTCTTTTATTAAAGAGCAGAAGGAGAAGTAAAATCAATTAACACGGATCCGAATTACAGTATAAAAATCTTTCATATGATTGTGATTGACATAACAAAATATAGTAGTTTTCATGAAAGGATGTAGTATAACATCCTTATATTTTATATATGAAAAGGGGGGAATTCTATTTTTATTATTATTGTTTATTAGTTCAATAAGAACTTGCTGCTTTTTCACTATCAGCACTGAATTTTGTATAAGCTTTTATTTTTATTTTTATGCATATTACAGGCTATTTGTAGTAAAATATAGATCTATGGTAAGTTTTATATATGCAATAATGTG